ATTTCATATGAAGGTATTGATGTACAGTACTATCCACATGGGCTGAAGAGAGGCTAAGAAACCACTAAAAGAATCATCATTTGTAATGCTCACACACAAGTTACTACTCTGAAAACATATCCAAAGAAATGAAATTTAACATTACCAAAATCAATAAGGATTTTTTTTGTAATTATAGTGTCCCTTATATACTGTTTAAAACAAAAGTAATCAAATTCCTTTGGACCAGGGCTGCTAAAATCTACAGTTTGTGTCAGGAAAAAAAAAAAAAAAAAAAGTAAAAATAAAAATAAATAATAGGAGGCTCATTTTTCCTAGAAAAAGAATCTCTCCTTTCACCAATAAGTCACGTGTTCCAAGGGCTGGGCAGCAATGGGAGTGGGTTTCCTACTAGCACTTTGTCTTAGCTTTTAGGAGCTGGCCATTATGCAATGCTAAATTACAAAAAAAAAAAAAAAAAAAATTAAATTAGGAAGTACAGGCAGTTCCCAGTTATGACCATCTGATTTACAATGGATAACTCCTACTTGCCCTTTAATATTATGCAAATTTGCCCTCACTTTGAAACTTTTCAATCAATCTCAACTCTCCACAAATTTATCACAATTACCTTCATTTGCTGCACATGAAGCTTTTAAATCACTGAAAAGTCTTCCAGCCTTTTCTTGCAGTAGAGTAAGGCTAAATAGGAACCGTAAGCCAGTTTCGACTTGTGTACAAATTCGACTTAAATGAGTTAGGAACAGATCTCGTTCATAACAGGGGGACTGCCTGTTAAGTGTTGGAAAACATTCTAGAGGATGGTGAACTCTTCATGCTTTGTGGACTGGCATAATACAAAACTTTGTGTTTAAATAGACAGGTTTACATACATATAAGGAAGTTTGGTGGATCTTTATTGAAGAAAAATTCTAGGGTAAAAAAAAATGACCTTTTCCTTACTGTATATCCTTTCAATGTGAAGTAAATGACTAACCAATATGTGCAACCTATCGCTCTAGTTTCAAATCAAGTTCATTTTCCTGTGTACCATAGAAGTTGAAAAGACTTTTTATAAACACTGGACAATGTATTTTCCCAATAGTGTTTGAAAGCAGAAAACTATCAAATGTAACTAACTGAAGAAGCTACTGATCAATTTTGGGGGAAAGGGGGTGAGATACTTCACATACACAGTGCTGCTCCATAGCAAGGAGTACTTAAAAGCTTGCATCCCAAAAGGGTCTCAGAATCGTCTAAAGGGTGTTTGTAGTTTTGTGAAGTCCAGCTATTGCCAGTAATCCAACCAATTCAAAGATCAATTATAAAATGCCCAGCCCTAGCCCCACCATTACCCTTACTTTCAAATGCAGCAAAACAGAAGAAAATATTGGTTAAAGTTAAGGCACAGCCCTGGGACCAAAGACCTGCAGCTATGTTTTTTTGTTTTTTTTTTTTTAATTTATATATCTTTATGTATTTTATAGTTTTCTTGAATCTTCCATAAACAAGCTCTAAGGTGACAAGACTAAATTACAGGAGAAAAGAAAATATACAAGGAGTTATGTATACACACCATTCATTCTCTCACCAAGAGTTTCCAAATATATCAACACCATCCCATCATGGGATGATGTTTTAATAAGAACTGTTAATTTACAATTAACATTACAGTATGTACATTACAATAAATACATGGTTGTAAACAGACAAACAAGACTGTATTACAGGTAAGGTCATTTGGTGAGAAAAAAAATGCATGGCACAGAAAATAAATAATGCAAAAATTATCATAAAGCTTTCTGTAAAATCCATTCATTCAAGTTTTTTTTTCTCCTTGACTGCAATTTGTTCTATCTACATTATTGTGTTGTGAATTTTAACTGATGTTAAACAAAATCAAAACAGCATTATTGTGTTCAGTAACTTGCAAGCTAAAATGTACTGGTTTTATACAAACTTAGACTATTGACCCATACAGTACCCAGATATTGCATTTTCTGATGACATTTTTGGAAATGTGAAGCCACTTATAAAAGGATTTTTTTTAAAGCAGTGTGTAATCCTGAAGCACACTTTGGCAAGAGAGGAGAGAAAAAGAAGGGAAAGGATAAGCAGATTGTACAGTGCATCATTAGTCCCTGTCTCTTGGATATTATGCCTTTTCTACAATTTGATTGTCCATCTGTTGGTATCTTCACAACATGGTACTATTAAGAACCAACAAGCTGGGCTGGGGGTGGGGTTGGATGGCTACCTTTATTAGTGTAGTTATAAACCTTTTCAGGTCTGGATTTGTGTCATATTGCTGCTTTTCAATTCTTTTTCATTAAGATTCCAGGCACTCTGTGGGAGGAATACCAAGAAATATGGAGGGGAGGGATAAGGGCATTTTAGAAGAGGAATAAACTCCACGCTCTTAGCCCTTCTTCAACAGAAAACTCCTTTCTAGAAATCCATCTGGGGCAAATCAAATGGAAACAAGTTCCCAAACTTTCTTGCCCAAAGACTTGACTCTAATTCAAAGATTACTGTCTGTTGGCTTAAATTTTGCAGGGGAAAGAATGTAGAAATCTGGAAAGTGGTTGATTCCTATTCTGCTCTCCATAAAGGGTCAGAACTATAAAGACATCGTTTTTCTTTCAAAAGTTCTAAGCATCATCAGTTAAGGAGCTCTGGTGATGCAGTGCCCAAGGCATTTGACTGCTAACCAGAAGGCTGGTGATTCAAACCTACCAGCCACTATGCGAAAGGAAGATGGGCAATCTACTTCCGTAAAGATTTACAGCCTTGAAAACCCAATGGGAGTCACTATAAGTCGGAATCGACTCGATGGCAGTGGATTAAGCATTAGTTGGTTCTCAGGCTGATACAATGGGGGCAACCTCCAGCTGGCCTCTCATTTCCCTGGCTGGTGACTTGGTTATCAGTCCCCAGAAGATGGCCTAAGAAGTCCCAAGTGTGTTTTCCAGGATTGCAAATTTTCTTAACTGTTCTACTTATTTTCCATATAGTCAGATACCCCCTTCTAGTCTCCATCTCAATTCTTCAATATCAATGTGGAAAATGATTATCTGGGTTCCAAACTCTTCACCATTAAAAGCTGAAATAGGAGGAACGTTCAAACTAAATTAATGCCAGATGATGTCAACTATTATCAGCAAGTAAATTAATTAATGTCTAAAATTACAATACAGCTTCTGGTGCTGAAACTGACCAAGAATGACTTCTGATTTTTCATTGAGGCACAATCTTCCTAACCAATCTATTATTTCAGGGCTGCATTGCATTCTCAATTCTTCAGCACTAGAGACATCATCAACTTCCTTCCCTCAGTGGGTTTAAAGTATTTCTTGTCTACAAGACATGCTTCTGGAGCAGTGATAACTAACAAAGCAATTCCTATATGTTGCATGGCTGTCCATTAAGAAAGTGTAGTTGTTACACTTCAAACTGCTCTTCAAGGATCATCCTCAGACAGTTCTTAATGGTATGGTAAAGCCATAGAAACAAAAAGAAGGTAGTTGCACTGGTGTTTGTTTATATATTCTATTACTATTCTTAAAATTTGCCTAGCTAGCCATTAACTTTTCTCTGTAAACCAAGAGTAAAAGCTAGTCATTATATATGACCTCACAGCATAAATGAATACTAACCCTAACTTAACTACCTGTTGTTGTATTTCATCAATTAGAATGGTGGTGATATATTTGATAAGACCCCAACTACACAACATGGACAGAGGTTCAAACACACACTAAATAATAAAGCAGCACAACAGGAAGAAAGATTTCTTACTACAACTGGCTGTAAAAATAATAAAAAGGAGCATGAAATGAGGGTTATTACAAAGACATGCACTTGTGAAATGAGGGTTTATCAACACAGCAAAAGGTTATAAGAAGACAATAGGTAGGAAAATATGTAAAAAAGACTGACCATTTTAGCTACTGGGTATTTATATATCTCCCACTTGCTTCAGATAACACCAACTGATGATGGAGTTTCCATGAGGCTTGAGACACATTAGACAAAATGCACATCAGAGTATTACAGAACAAATATTCACTTTGCACACTGTGATGAAAAATGCCAGTGGAGAGCAACTTTGCTTATCTGGAAAGAGTGAGACAAAAAAGCAAAGTAAACCAAGACCTACAAAAAGAGTTTCCTGTAACATAAACTTTTAAAATATGGAAGTCATTGGTATAGAAAACAATGAATCACTACAAATCAGTTAATTGCTATGAACTATAAGGTGCAAGTAAAATCGGTAAATTAGATTTATCCAGTGTAGCACAGATTTGTACTGAAAACTTGCAAGTTACTCCTTAGGAAAAAAAAAAATAACCAGTGGCAGATGAAGTTCTGAACATAGTTTTTTAAATATAATACCTCAATACATTTAATAATAAAAGTAAGCTCTACAAAAAATCTGTTTTACATATCATACAAAATGTAGAGGTCAGTGCAGCTCATTGAACCACACTCTTCAGTCATGTATCAGGAAGACTTGAAATTATAAAATTATGCAATTTCTGCAGCTCATCTTCCTCCTGGTAACAGATTCATGCTGTGTCCTATTCCTGATGCATCTGCTGCTTTATCCACTAGTTCACTCTGTCTGTGTAATGCCTTCTTTCTTCTGAAAATATTGCAAACAAATATAAAGAAAAGAAACCCCAAGATGTTGCCACTTCTAGGCTGCTTGATGAGCCACACTCCCTTCAAAACATGTTGGAGTTGATTTTATCTGCTTTGTCAGCTCTGTCAAGCTGAATTCTTGTTAAAATGCTGTTCACGAAGATGTCCCCCTTGCTCTGATGACATGGAGGTGGAAAAACTGGTTACAATATTCCTGAGCGCCAGACTGAGTAGTCAAGGTCAGTTTTTGTTCAACACACGTCCTGGCAGATGACAGTGAGGTGTGACCACGGTTGTGGCATGTGACATGCACTTCGGAAACAATTTTTCTACTTAAAAACAAAGAAAAAAGGGGGGGCATGAAAGTCTTTGCACTGTTACGTGTCGGGAGAATGATCTTCTAATACACAAGCTTCAGGCTGGCTTTCGTCTTCTGCTCCTACTGCTTCCTCTTCAACCTGTTCATCAAGGGGAATTTCTGTGGACTCCGAGTCTTGAGTACAAAGAGTCTTGGAGTCACTGCAGCTAGTGTCTTCCTCCACTTGACTTCCACTGTCCTTTTCTGTGTCTGATTCTCCATCTTCCTCTAGGGTTAGTTCAAACTGGAATTTCTCCGTCTGACCCTGCCGGCCCTCCTCTTGGTCATCAGGTGCAGGAGAGGGGCTCTGAGGGATTGTGCTCTGATACCACTCACGATTGTCCTCCAAAGTATCCAAAATATCTTGGGCGTCAGGATGGACAAGGTCTGCCCACGTCTCCCAGAGAGGATGAACAATATAGTCGATGAAGCCCACCTAGTTTAAAAAAAAAAAAAAATCAAGTCTGAGGGCCAAGAAATAAGGGAAAAAACTAACTAGACCAAACCTCAGAAATGTAATACAGAACAAAAGACTACTAATCTCATTTTGGCAAAACAGTCAGTCACTGCTTTAGGCAACAGACTAAATCAGGTGTAGCTATTAACTGGTTAAAATTAGCTTTTAGAACCCTTTGTTCAAGAGGAAAAATTTCTTACTCCAACAAATTTGAAAATCTAGAAGAAATAGATTTCTAGAAACATACTACTTACTTAAACTAACACAGACTGAGGTGGAAAATTTGAACAGACCCATAACAAAAGAAGAAATTGAACAAGTCATCAAAAAACTGCCAAAAAAAAAAAAAAAAAATTCCTGGCCCAAACAGTTTCACTGGAGAATTCTACCAAACATTCAGAGAAGAACTGACACCAATCCTACTCAAACTATTCCAGAACGTAGAAAAGGATGGCATCCTCCCAAATTCATTTGATGAAGCAAGCATAACCTTGATACCAAACCCAGGCAAAGACATCACTAAAAAGGAAAACTACAGACCAATATCCCTCATGAATATAGATGCAAAAATCTTCAACAAAATCCTAGCCAATAGACTCCAACAAAATATAAAAAAAATAATACATTATGACCAAGTGGGGTTCATACCAGGTATGCAAGGATAGCTCAACATTAGAAAAGCAACGTAATCCATCACATAAGTAAGATAAAGGAAAAGAACCATATGATCATATTAAAAAAAAAAAAAAAAAAAAAGGGGAAAAATGTTCAGTTGTTTACATGGTATGGCTTGAGGGTTGGACTTTATTTTAGAATAGCCAATGTCCAGGTGAACCCAGCTGACTTAAACAATGCCACATACTCTTATCAGTTGTTGTTGGTTCTGAGTCATGGTAACTCCATGTGTCAGAGTAGAACTGTGCTCCATAGAGTTGGCAAAGGCTCATTTTTCAAAAGTAGACTGTTGGGGTTTTTGTCAAAGCACCTCTGGGGGTCCTCACCCAATCAACCTTCTGGTTAGCAGCAGAGCACGTTACCTGTTTGTACCACCTGGGGACTCTGCTGTACTCGCAGTGTTGTTGTTGTTAGGTGCCAAGGAGTTGATTTTCGACTCCTAGCGACTCCATGTGACAGGGTAGAACTGCCCTGTAGAGTTTTCTTGTCTGTAATCTTTATGGGAGCAGGTCACCAGGTCACCCACCTGGGCTGCTGTGTGGATTTTTAGTCAGCAGACAAGCACTTAATTATTGTACCCGTGGGGCTCCTACATAAACTTTGTGAATACAAGTTATAAGAATGAAAGTGCTCTTCAGCTCATAAAAACTAATGTGGAACTGGGATTGTCAAAAGCAAAGTAAATTTTAAAAAGCTCAATAACAGTGTGTGATAGGTATGCAAAGTAAATGTAAAAGTTGTGGCTTGACTCTCTCTGAAAGCATCATGCTTAATGTGTTACCTGTGATTTTTCCACAGATGCATTGTGCTTGTCACACATGGGACTGATTTCCATGCCACGCTCCCTCTCGCGGTCTCCTTGGCGGAAGAACTCCTCCATTATCCGGTCCGTCCACTGGCGGTAAAGCTGGAGGGGCTTTGTTGGGTTGCTCAGATCTGCACAATGCACCATATTCTGAAGGACCTAAAATAGACAAATGCATTCTCTACTCAACACCTGCACCTTTTCTTTAATTTTCTTTTACTAGAGGTTCACATTCACATGACTGTGACACTTAAAAATACATGTAGTGTAAGATTTATCCCAAACAGCTCAACCGTGATGTGTCTGTGTGGGGTTCACACTTGTATTAATAGTCCCAAATTATGCCACTTCTACTGCATCTAGATATCTTAAGAGAAAGTGCTATGTACATGGTTGGCTAAATTCAGAGCCGTTTAAGTGGTTAGTCTTGGGGATGTTAGTTGTTCCATTTTTAATTGTAGGGAAGTGAAAACACCAATAGGATTTTACTGATTAAATCTCAGGAATGAGAATTTGGATAAAAGTCATGCCTATCATTACTAAAAATATAAGTTAAGAGAGAGGAAGAAAAAAAAATCTAATTCTAATAAACTGTTTAAAATCTAAAAAAAAATCTATGGCCCTGTGATACATTTTGGGCCTGGAATAAAACTCACTCCCAGGGGCTGGCTCTCAGCCCAATAGTAAACAGTGTACATGCAAGCCACTCAACCCAGGGGATGCACCCACATACTCTATGGAAATGCATCCCTTGGAGCAATCAACCACGGTGCATCAGAGGGGCAACATTCGCACAGAAGAAATGCAGGACACACAGGAGTGCATAACTATGAAGGGTACGGGGTGAGGGGCGTTACTGGGCACAGAGGGGAGGAGATTGGCTTAAGGTTGGGGATGGTAAATGGGGAATGGAACTAAATGTACATGAAATGTTGAATGTAAAACAAACTCTGCTCTGTACACTTGCACCTAAAGCACAATAAAAAAAAAAGTCTTATTCAAAGTTAGACACATAGACATGTGTGTGTATGCACACACCATCACACTGAACAAACTCAAACATAGGTGTACCTGAATTCTATCAGAATAATTATCAAGAAGAAGAACCCCAGAGCTTGTCACTTTCTTAGTTTCAACCATAGTTTTCAAGTCAGCCAGTAGATTCATATGTTTTGACATGTCTGTCGCAAGTACCTTAAAAGACAGAGAGTATTTTATTAAGGAAAAAAGTCAAAATTTACACACAAAAATATGCAGAATGTGAGAAAAAAAATGGAAAACTACTATAACATGTAGGAGCTCTGGTGGTGTAGTGCCTAAGGCACTGGACAGCTAACCAGAAGGCTGGTGGTTCAAACCCACCAGCCACTCCTCGGAAGGAAGGTTGGGCAATCTACTTCTGTAGTGATACTGCCTCGAAAACTCAAGGAGGGGTCGCCATGAATTGGCTCTGACTACACGGCAGTGAGTTTGGTTTGGTTTGGTTTACTATGACATCTACTAGTAGTGAACAGAATATTCTTTACTCGCTCCTGGAGCAGAGTCCATTTTTCTAGAAGCGCAGATACATGTATACAATAGGAACAAAAATATTAGGCCTTGACAAGCAACAGCCTACTGATAAAAAGTGATGTTGTCTCCATAAGACAGTACCACGTTTCAAAGTTTTTTCCACACACTGGATTAGACAGTGGTCACTGGAGTATGAACTGATGAAAGGCTGATGACAGAATGCTTCAGAAACAGACTATTCTGGTTAATTTTCAGCTTATCCCAGATAAATCAATCCTGCCTTTGTATGTACAAAGCTTAATGAAGTTTTGGGTAACCATATTTTCCTGTGTCTTTTAATCATGCCTAATGATACACACAGGGACAAGAATAAACATGGTGGTTCTAAATGGCACTGTCTATATACAGAAAAAGGGGAAAGAAATACATCTGAGCTATGGCCACTGCCCTCTGCTTTTGTTAGTCATCTTTCTCTGCTCACTACCAGACTGGGGAAGCTCAGAAAATTAACTACAGCTACTGAAACTGGGAAACTTAGTACAGAACAACACTCCAGCAGCTGGGGCAGCTTCCTAGAACATAAGTGGCCACAACAGGTTTGGAAATTCAGTTCCTTTCACCTGATCCTCATCTCAGCTTATTTATGAATGTATGTATGTATGTATGTATGTAAATGTATGTATGTATGTATGTATGCAAATATGTATTTATTTAATAAACAACATGCATGATAGTTCTCTTCTTATGCTATCATCAGCTACTTACGATGTCAATGACCATTTTTCTTAATGACTGTCTTTGCTTTTTGGTCAAATTCTGGAAAATGTCACAGTTTTCTTCCTGGAGCAACTTAAAGCCCACAGCCAAGTGATGGTTCTCTAAGACAGAAGAATCATTGTACATCAAGGCAAGTTCAGAGTCTGAAAGAAAGACAAGAGGTGGAAGATCAGTAAAGCTGTTCACTCTAAAGTTATCTTACTCTTGATATCCTGAAATAACTTTGGATTTACAATGCAATTTCCCCTAAATATCTCCCCTGTCCTTACTTGACAACAAGGAACTTGGTGGTATAGTTCCTAAAGAATTTGACTGCTAACCAAAAGATTGGTGGTTCAAACTCACCAGCTACTCTGTGGAAGGAAGACTGGGCAATCTAATCCGTAAAGATTTACTGCCTCAGAAACTCAAAGGGGGTCGCTATGAGTCAGAATTGATTCAATGGCAGTGAGTTTGGTTTTTTTTTGGTTGACATGACAACACCCAAGAGAGAATGTACAGGATAATGTAACAGTGGAAAGATCACTGGAAACTTGGAGTGCATTCCAACACTACTAACATGTGGCAAATCACTGTGGGCCTCAGCTTTCTGTTTTCTAAAGTGAAAGAAGAGCTGAAGCAGATGATCTTCAGCCTCCCCTCCAAACCTGCCTCACGTAGCTTAATAAACTCAGCAGAACATATCCACATCATAAAGTGTTATATTCCAAAAAGATGTGGATTATCTAATCTATATATAAAGGAGCTCTGGTGGTGTAGTGTCTAAGGCACCTGACTGCTAACCAGAAGGCTGTGGTTCAAACCCACCAGCCACTTCTTGGAAGGAAGGTTAGGCAATCAACAACTTCCACAGTGATTCCGCCTCGGAAAGCCAAGGAGGGGTTGCTATGAGTCGGGTCTGACTTGATGGCACATAACAACAACATTTTATATAATGAAAGCATCATGTAATTTAAGCACTGTTTGTACTTGGAGATGATTCAAGAACAGTTTAGAACATGTGAATGATACTAGATTTGTTCATGTTGTTCTTACTTGTTTTTCTTCTATACAAGTCTAAGCTGCTTCTATGCAAGTCTAAGCTGCTTCTATGCAAGTCTAAGCTTTATTCATTTTTTCTATTTCCCTCGCCAAGTATCATGGCAGTTGCTATGTATATGTATATTGCTCTTCCTGCCCACACTGCTGACTTCACAAACACTGTGTTTAGCTGTCTACATAATCTGATGCAGAATTCTCCTGCTCTCTTAACCACTGCTCTGGACCGGTCTATTTTTAGCAATAAAGACCCTACCTCTTTCTTAGTTCCTGTTCTAGGTCTATAAGGTAGTTACTAAGAAAAAAAAAATAGTAATAATAAAAAATTGAGTATTGCTTTCTTCTATTTCCACTGAAGTCATTGTAAAGACTAAAAGCACATGTTGTTGTCGTTGTTACATGCTGTCGAGTCAGACCTGACTCATAGTGACCCCTCCTTGGGTTTCCGAGGCAGTATCACTATGGAAGTAGATTGCCCCAGCTTCCTTCCGAGGAGTGGCTGGTGGGTTTGAACCGCCAGCCTTCTGGTTAGCAGTCAAGTGCCTTAGGTACTATGCTACCAGAGCTCCTGAAA